GGAGAAAAAGCACACTCAGTGTTTCATTTAGGTGTCAGTGACCATTAGTCTTTATTTTACTGCGTGAGAATACCAACACCCCCAACTCCAGAGGCAGGGGAGCAACCTTAAGACTGATACCATGTTCACAGCATAGAGAATCTAGTCAGTGATGTTAAAACAACATATAGTGACAGGTGGTAGCTACGCTCGTGCTGACCATAGAGTAATGTATAGAGAAGTGGAATCACTATGCTATCTGAAACTAATGTGACATTGGGTGTCAATTATACTCAAGTAAAAAATTGAAAAATAAATAAAAATAAATAAGCCTAAGGAAGAGTTGAAAAGCCCAGGCGGGTGTGGCGGGGGGAGACCAACACCATATTCTGCTCAGTATCACTCTTTCCATCCACTGATGGTTCATCTTCCTTGTAGTTATTTCCCTCTTCTGTTTGGATGAGTTCTTTTTGAAAATGCAGCACTTAAACAAAATCGGTTTTGACAAGTGAATGTAAAATTATATGATGCTAAAAATTTTAAGCTCCAACTCATTGTAAATTCGCATTGCAAGAATAGAAAACAGTTGCCCTCAGGCGAGGGATATTACCAATGACCTATTTCCCTTTGGCAGTCAATTTCGTAAGACAACCACACTCCTTCCTCTTTTTCAGCATTCTTTCAGGTTGCCCCCAATTAGCAGTACCTGAAACAATTGTAAAAATCTTGAGTGATGTCTTATGTTAGAATTCGAAGGAGCTAAAGAGCGTTTGGTTTGAGGGAGAGAGAAGGGAGGGAAGGAAGGAAGAAAGTAAAGAAAATAGCGAGAGGGTTTCCTAAAAGCCAGTCCAACTTATTTTTAGCTTAAATGCACCGATCATCATTTGTGAGTAATAGGGAATGCTTTAGAATTTAAACTATTAGAGAGAAAACCTTATCAATCTACATCTTAAGTTAACTGTTGTTTTTCATTATTACTATCTTTGGAATATCCTTCAGTACTTGTGAAATGCAATCAGAAACTGATGGACAGATTCTATAACAAAAAGGAAACTCTCTACATTTGAAACCTGTCATTTTTTCGTCTATACTTTTCTGACTTTTTTCATATGTATATTTTTAATACATTACATAGTAATGTAATATTGTAACTCTATGTGAAGGGGACTCATAGTATTTTATGCTCATACACCAGAAAATATTAATATACTACATGACATATGGTTCATTCTTCTTCATTCATTCCTTTTGATTTGTGTCTCTTTATTTCATGAAATGCAAGAAAACTTCATTCAAAGCAAAAAATTCTATGATCTTAATTAGATGTCCTCTTAAGTTATTTTTGTATGTATTGTTTTTTTCTGGCTCAAAAGTCAGCTCTTTGGTCACAGGTGCCTGTCATACGTATTTCATCTTTATATCCCACGAAACATGCAGTCTAGAGTAGAACAGGTAGAAAATTCTCACTAAATGTTAGTTGAATGAATTGATGCCTTCCAAAATCCCACATCTTGGACTTGGAGCTCAGAGTTACACAGCATTTCATTCTTAACATTCCTTTCCCACAACCTTTCCCAATTCCTTCCCACAACTACGGTTGGATAGTAGCAGAATGCTCCATAGCCTCCTAATCAAAGTTTGAATATATTCTTCTTCTTCTTTTTTAAGATTTTATTTATTTATTTGACAGAGATCACAAGTAGGCAGAGAGGCAGGCATAGAGAGAGGGGGAGGCAGGCTCCCCCGCTGAGCAGAGAGCCCCATGCGGGGCTCAATCCCAGGACCCTGAGATCATGACCTGAGCTGAAGGCAGAGGCTTTGCCACTGAGCCACCCAGGTGCCCCTGAGTGTATTCTTCTTGATAAAACTTATTAGAAAGGTAAAATGCTGTGAGTCACTTTCTCACATTTCTTTTTATCTTCCTTCGGTTCATTCAAGAAACAGCTTTATTCACTTTTAGCTTTAAAATTTTGTGAGATACCTATTGAAATGATAAACACACATACAAAAATTTAACCTTACAAGTGATAAATGTAAAACTGGGCAACAGTAAACTCTCATTTGTGCTTATTAATATTGCCCCCCAAATAATTAAAATTGTGATATCTAGTGCCAATGAAGTTGTGAAAAAGTAACACAGAGGGGGGACCTATTGAAGCAGATAAAACTTGAATCCTTTGGAAGACAATTTAGAAATATTTACAGAGGTGGGTGTTTTAGTTTATCTTTAATAGCAGAGACTGGCAACAAGCAAGTATTCAAGTGTTTGGGACAGACTAAACATATGATCATAGAGGACTTTGATTGATGATAATCAAACTATTCACAAGACAATCATGAATATCATGTGAAAACAAATACCAGATATTAGTATCAAATATCAATAGTATCAAATAATAAAAAATCAGAATGTCAAACTATGTAATAAGCTTGCAATTGCTTGAAAACATGTAAGTATAAATAAAAAAGACTAGAAGGAAACAGGACAAAAAGAAAACAATTATTATAGGGTAATAGAATCCTGGGTGCAATTTTTTGTTTTGTATTATGTTAAAAGATTATTTTAACAGTATATAAAAATGTTAAAACGGGATCAAGTTTTAGTCCCTCAGTGTTCATATATTAAGGAGGATGTTAACCAGATACCTAAGCAACGTTTCTCTTCCTTGCCTCAAAATCTCAGCGTGTACTTTGTTCAGTTCCAGAGGCTTAACTATTTTTTTATTATTATTCTGGCTACCATGGTTATTCTTTGAAAGTCTAAACAAAGTTCATATTGTTTCTTGGCAACATCTCTTGTTTGCATTAAACCACGAGTTATGATATTAGTGCATCCTGTTGTGGGTTCTCTGAAGAAGGCAGACGTGATAGCTCTTCTTCTGTTGCTGAGTAAATGACAGTCCTTTTTCTGGGCATATTCTATTTCTGAGTTCTTACTCTTTGTGATGTGCAAATGGCCAGTCAAAAATTTCCTATAATGGCCATTGCTCTTCTGTCAGCATTTTTGCCATTTATCCACGGAAAGTGCAAGAGTTACAATTATAGTGTAACTTTATATACAAAGCAGAATTTCTTCCAGGAAATTAATATAATCCAGTATAGTAGTAAAATATTTTTTGCTTTTCTGGAAGGATGACATAAGCTTCCTATTCTTAGTTTATCTGGATTTATATAAAGATATAAATCATCTTTATATAAGCTATAATTAATTCAGGTTTCCATACATTCTGAAAGGTCATTTTTTTTCTTTTTTTTCCTTTAAAGATTTTATTTACTCACTTGACAGAGATCACAAGTAGGCAGAGAGGCAGGCAGAGAGACGGGGGAAGCAGGCTTCCCACTGAGCAGAGAGCGCGATGTGGGGCTCCATCCCAGGACCCTGGGATCATGACCTGAACCGAAGGCAGAGGCCTTAACCCACTGAGCCACACCCAGGCACCCCGAAAGGTCATTTATAAGTGAGGAGTATAAACCAAAGGATAATAAGGATGGAAATACTCCCATGTATTCTCTCCCAATATTTAGATGCTTTCATTCATTCTGGAATGCATCGTACTCTTAAGAGCACAACCTCTTAGGTTAGATCATGAGAGTTCAAATCTTGGCTACAGTTGTGTAAGTCTAGAAAAGTTGCTGAAGCCCTCTGTGCCTTAATTTCTTCATCTGTTAAATAGAGATAAAGGTAGTACTTACCTCATAGAAACTGGTGAGAATTAAATGAATTGATGAATGTAAAGTTCCTGGCACTTAAAAATGGTAGTTATTTATCATTATTAATGTGCATTTTTTTTAAGCTGAGAGTACAAATATTGAAGCGCAATCTCTGCCCTGTAGGAGACTTAGAAAACAAGCTTAAAAATCAACTAAGTTGGGCGCCTGGGTGGCTCAGTCGTTAAGCGTCTGTCTTTGGCTTAGGTGGTGATCTCAAGGTCTTGGGATTGAGCCCTGCATTGGGCTCCCTGCTCAACAGGAAGCTGGCTTCTCCCTCTGCCCCTCCCCCTGCTTGTGGTCTGTCTCTCTCTGTGTCTCTCTTTGTCAAATAAATAAATAAAATCTTAAAAAAAAATCAACTAAGTTTGCTGTGAATCCAAAACTGCTCTAAAAATAAAGTTTTTTTTTTTTTTTTAAATCAACTAATAGCTTTACTACCCTCACTGGAAAGAAGAAAGCTGTACCATCCATCATTGGTGCACACTGTAAAGGGCTTTGGGAATGTTCTTAACTGAAATAGAATTCTATTTGATATGACTTGGAGCCACATGGAAGAATTGAGAGTCAGAGTATCTTATCCTTGCTGCTGGGCACTTCATGACTTCTCATTTTTGGAAAACAACTACTGGTTCAGAGCCTAGGAAAACTGTTCCACAGTCTCTTCTTTCTGAGATGGGAAATTTTTCTGACCTAGTAACCATCATCTTTCTCCCAAATGCCTGTCATTCAATAGGACAATGAGAGGCACAGCTCTGAATGTCTTATTCTAATTATTTTTGCCGTGAAATTGAGAAGAGAAACCAAAGCCATTTTGACTTTTGACTTTTGCGTCAAATGTGTCTAATTTTGTTGGTGTTCAAAGATGTGTGTGTTCTTTAAGCTATAGGTTTAGAAATGCTCATTTGATTAAGTCTCATAAATGTAATGATTTGGTCTTTATTTTCCTGAGCTGATGAACCACTTGCAAGTTCTCCATCGAGAGGGCTTGTGTTTTCAGATGTCTTTAACTCATTCCACAGATATTTATTTATTGCCTACAAGGTACCCCGCATCATGCTAGATATACATTTCTGTCAGTAAGTTGCTTCAGCTTTCTTAATGGAGAAAAGACTGAACAAAGGAAATTAACCCTGTTTATCCTTGGGCCCTAGCACATAGGATTTGGGACCAAATAAGCTAATTTGTATTTACACTAGTAGACACTTATTTTTCTACTTCCAGATCATTATTGGACAGCTATATCCTCTAATGATCTATATAATGTATAGATTTTATGTCTTTTATTTAATAGTGTCTATTTTTTTCATGAGGGTGATCCCGGGGTGCCTGGAGCAGTAGGACAAAATGGAATACCAGGGCCAAAGGTTAGTACAAGTGAAACCAAGCAGAATCATTTGAGATATGAGTTTTCATGAAATTGTAAGCTATAACAGTTTTTTATATCCCACTGGTGTTACTTGGATGGAATATTGTTAATAGTATAACATGCTGCTGAGTAGAAGTTTGTGACTAATGACTAAATTATGTGTATGATTCTCATTAGCATTACACATGCAAAAAAGCAAATAAGATACAATTGTCGAAATCTTTATTCTGGGATATTTCAATAACATGAAAAAAAGCCCATATTTCAAATATGACTCTTGTCATTTTGCCACTTAATAAGCATTTTAAATCATAGGCCATGTTAATACTGCCTGAAATGTGCATAATATTCACAAGATTTACTAAAGATGACTTTCATGGTGCCACTGTGGTCTTTCTGCAGTATTTGGTCACCTCCAGCACATACAGAATATAACCAGTCAACAAGACGAAGAGCAGAATAAAGAATGTGACATGTTTTGTTGTTTTTTTAAGATGTTTACTTTCTTAAAGTAATGTCTACACCCAATACAGGGCTCAAACTCACAGTCCCTAGATGAAGAGTGGTACGCTCTACCGGCCTAGCCAGCCAGGTGGCCCGAGATGCGGCATGTTTAAAATTTGAAAACGGATATAGTCTGAATTACTATAGAGGGAAAACTTGTAATGAGGGTTTGGGGGAGGTTGCAGACTTTCTTTGTTTTTTTTTTTTTTTTTTTTTTTTTTTTTTGAAGAACAAATGAATTTATTAAATATAAAAAGATTGAGGACAGTTTAAACCAAACAGGCAGACAAATCCCAAATCCTTTGATGAGTGAATATCCCTTGAGGTACATAACTAATGTCTAATCCCGTCAGCTGTGCGGGTGTGTGTCCGTACCCACAGATGCCTGTCAGCTGATTTTACAGATCACATTGCCATTGACAGGCGCCTAGGACAGACCTAAAATTTATAGACCTGTCCTTTGTCCTGCAGGAGAGGAAAGAAAATATTCCTTCTGGGACTACGCCATTCTCCTGTCTTTTCCCCCTCCCTTCCTCCATGCTAAAAAGCCAAATGATAAGAGTTAATGCTTAATGCATGTTCTCAGTGCTAGTCTTCTGTTGCCTAGCAACCATCAGGATGGATGTTGAGCACTGAAAGGTGGCTTGAAATTCAGAAAGCCAAAGGGTCAGACTGAGTCCCAGCAACTGAAAACAGTCTTGCCTCCAAACTGATTTTGAGGGATTTTTAATTTTAAAAAACACAATAATCATCTTGAGCCAATTTTTTTAAGCAGCCTGATCTCATGGCAACACTTACTGATGCTTTTCGTAAGAGGAATATTATCATGATGTGCCTGATTTACTTTAGAGTTCTTCCACTCCATTGCCTGTGCCTTCCTAGGTAAAGTGAAAATAAGGATTCTCTTCAAAGCACAGTTTTGCATTTTAGTCCTCATACTGTCCCAGTCATCATTTTAAATAAAGACATTCTCCTAAACTCATGTTCACTCTGCCCCATTCTAATCTCTTTCCTGAAGGTACCAGTGTTGCACAAAATATACCTGATTTGGAACATGCAGGTTATCAGCAGGTTAAAGAGAGTCATGATACTCTTAAGGGGTCCAAAGTCAGATCTGTGTTCAGGATCATGTTTGAAGAAGACAGATGGGGGAACTACACAGACTCTAGGCCCCTAAAATAATCCATACGCTTGGGGCTGCTTTGAATAAAAGACCATGAAAGGATGTGCTAGTTCACCTTACTGATTCTGAGTTTGGGAGGAATAAAAACTTGAAAACTAAGAAGCTGCTCAAGACATTGAATTGGTACCACATTGTTCTTAATGCCCCCAAAATGGTTTCTGGATGATAATCTTAAATACCTTTCTTTCATCTTTTAAAATCAAAGAATTAAGATTACATTTGATATTAATATCCATGCCCAATTCTTCAGGAAACTCATCTTGAAATTTGTTTTCAATATAGCAATTCTATGTTGGCAAAATAGAAAGTGTCGCATATAATTGACTTATTATGGTCAATATCTGATTTTGTTAGGTGGTGTTTAATTGGGTGTTTTATAATTTAATGTGTCTCTCAATCTTTGTTCTTTTGCTCAGGGAGAACCTGGAGATCAAGGCGAAAAGGTAAGAATGACTCTGCCCGTAATCCACCCCGCCCCCCACAAAGAGATATCAAACCTAACTGTATAGAAGTATGGATGAGTAGCTAGCCATAGATACAGATCCATAGATACAGAGAGATATAACAACCACTGTGCTTGTCTAACTGTTAATTAGTAGGAGAAAATAGTGTAATTCTTATGTATGGAAAGAGGTTTGGATAAAAAGGTTTAAAGAAATGGAGGGAAAGGGAACAAATTTGAACATTCTATGTCAAGCTTCTAAATGGTATTCAGAAATCCGTAGGCCTGAAAAACTTGTTTTTGCCTACTTTCTAATGCCACTCCAATGCTTTTCTAAGCATCTGTATCTCTCCTTACTGCTTCCTAGGTCACGAAGTTAAAGAAATACAGATGTTTACCTGTAACAAAGACACTGGAAATTGCCCCACAAAGAATTCTTATAAAAAAGCAAAAGAAACACAAAAGGAGGCGGAGAGTGCCATATGTTAAATTTCTCACAGACGTCCTTCCTGACTACTTTTGGGGCATCCTGATTATTTTTAGACTCTCATTACATATCGTGGTGCTAATTTTCCTGGTTCTCATGCTGTTTACTTTGATAATGCTTGAGACATGTGCTGCCTATGTAGGAAGCTACCAAAACATTACATCATGCTCTTCAGAAGTGATCTGAATATTCTGATAAAGTAGTATCATCACTTCCAATCCTAAAAGAAGTACCCCTAAAGATCCAGCACACTTCTTGAATGTGTATTTTTCGGCACTGTGAAGCAAAAATTAAAAAGACACTTATTTAAATGGAGGGAGAGCAAAGCAGAGGGAAAGGCTAGTCCAACCCTTCACTTCGTGACCACTCTGAGTTAGTCCTCCTCAGAAGAAAGTCTGTTGTGTCTGTTTTGTTTTTTGATAAAGGGATTTCCAAGCAATCTTTTTAAAAGTATGCTAATAGGCTGCCTGTGAAAGGTTCCTCTTAAGAGATTATCGGTACATTTATTTGGCTTCCAACCAGTTCTTTGTAACTAACTTGAAATTAATTAGTCATCAGGTCACTCTTTTGTGTAGAAATTAAGGAGGGGAAAGGAGCAGGGCCCCACCATCCCAGGGATTCATCAGAGAGAGCTACTGGGGCTGCTGGGCTGCTGTGGTGTGTCCCCCGCCACAGACAAATGCCTGAGCAGGTTAGCTGCTTCTTTATCTGAAACAAGAAAAGGAAACAGAAAAAAGTAGCAGTCTCTTTCCTAATCTCTGCCTTCTTCCACGGAAACCATGATCAGTACTTGATGTCTTATGTAAAGGAAATTTTTAAATGCTGAATTGACCTCTTAGGAAGCTAAACAGAAGAAGGGCCTTCCAGCTTAGGCAATCTATGAACAATAACGCATTGTTACCGCTAACGGCTATCATTAACAGTTTATGCTGCATCAGAAACTGGCCTAGTTGTTTTGCACAAGCATAGTGTTTATTTCTTATAACCCCACAAAGCATTCTTGCCCTTCTGTTACACATGCGAAACGTGATTCAGGGAGGATTTCATTTGCCCAGTAGGTGTTGGAGCTGGGCTCAGTCTGCCGGCGCCAAGGTCCATGATGTTTCCACTGTAACATGCTGCAAGACTTAAATGAAACAATTCAGCATTGAAGGAATCAAAGCATGGATAATGAGCGAATGACTTTTTTTTTTTTCCCCTAACGCTTTGCTTTGTGGTAGAAAGGAGATGTCAGGGAGGGAATAAGCACAGGAAATCTAAAAAATAACCCAGAAAGCATAAACTCTCCAGTTTCTTTTACCATAGTTAAAAAAAGAGAGAGCGTTCAAATAAAATACAGGGTGTTCAATGCACAGATGCAAAACACTTAGGTGCAGACAAACTAATCTTCCGCCTGCAGTTTTGAGGGCTGTGTCATGCACTTCTAAGCCCTGGAGATTTGATTTGAGCTGAACTTGAAGACACAGTAGGATTTACACAGAGAGGAGGGAAAGGGGAGGGCAGGAGCTCAGGGGGGCAGGAATGGCGGGAAGGATGGACAGGGAAGTGCTGAGGCATGTGGCATATTGAGGGAATGGTCAGGAAAAGGCTTTCTTGAGGCGAACACAAATAATGTTAAGGAGGCTTTCGGTGCCAGAATGAGCTATTCGAATCAGAGAAAGTACTGCTTTCTGTTGATATCATAGAATAGTTTAAAACTGCTCAGCTATGTTCATTGTAATAAATTTTATTTGGATCACTTGATATCAGGCAGCTGCTCAAGTAAAAATACGTTAGCTCTGTAGAACATTTGCAACAGATTTTGATATATAGTGCACTTGAAAGCAAATTCAAAATAATGAAAGCTACTGTGTGTAATGTCACCAATATATTTCACCATATCACTTTCCCCCCCTTAGGGAGAAGCTGGAGAGCATGGCCCCAAAGGTGACACAGGCGAAAAGGTACAGTGTTGTGAAATATGAAAGAGTATGTGTATGAGCAAGAAATATTATTCCATGTATGTGAAAGCAGAAGATTTTGAGAAAGGTGAGTGGTAGTAGCTTAATAAGATAAGATGGGAAATAATTCTACAAGTTTAGAGAATATTTGAATATCAAACTTGTAAAGGTGATCGTTCCACAAACTCCTAGCTACAAATTTAAATATTTTAAAAATAAAAGGGTATGTCACAAATTCTAGAAAATGTGTAGCCTTGTTTATAATAATATGGTCTTCAAAAAGAAAACAATTTATTCATATGTAAGTGGGGCACTCTCCACTCAAAGTTGTAAAATAAAAATTCTAGAGTGATTCCATTTGTTCCAATTTGGGGAGCGAACAAGTCACAGGATTGTGATGAGATATACAAGTTTGAAAGTAAATGTCATTTGATTAGAACCTCTAGTGCAATCTTAAAAATTTACCTTCACTTGAAATCTACTAAATCCAGATATTTCGTCAGCCTTTGCGTTGTTTTTTTTTTTAATCTTTTAAATCGTTATTAGCATTTATATCACAGTGGCCTTGTGACTCATCTTCCTACCTCTTCTCATCACCCCCCTCCCCATCTATCATTATAGCTTCTGCTTGGCTTCATGCCTCACAGATATCTCTGGCATACGAAGGATATTTTACTGCACTTGTGCTGTAAAGAATTAAGAAAAAGATCTCTTAAGCAACTGAAGTTAGAATAGTCAGATTTTCATGAAAATCAAGCTAAGTAATTGAGTGATAAAAAAAGATTTATTCATTTAAGCTTAGAGTTGAGGATAAAAATATTTTGCTTTGAAAATTATTACAGTACAGATGGGTAATGGTTAGTCATAAAAGCATCCCCATAAAAAAGGAGAAATTTACCTTTTTCATTCTTATAAATATTAATATAAATATGGCATGGATAGTAGGAATGAATTAATGTGACCAAGTTGTAGTTATGTTTGCATTCGAGGAGCAGTCCAGAAATTAGAGTGGGCCCTCAGTCTCTGGTAGACCAGGGTTTCCCACCCTCAGCATTATTGACATATTGGGCCAGATAATTCTTTGTTATGGGGGCTGTTGAATGTTTAACATCATACTTGGCCTGCTGCTGCTAGATCCCACTATCTCTAGACATTGCCAAATGGCCACTGTGGGATAACATCACTTCTAGTTGAGAACCATTGCTGTAGACCCGTTCTCTGTATCTGTCAAATCTAATTATCATGCTCCAATCAAATATGGCATGCATGAGCTTAATACTTAATAAGACTAATGATAAACCTCGATCACTCTCAGAGTCAGAATTTCAAACACCAGCTATATAAATCTGGATGTTATATTTAACTTTCCTGTTTATACTTAAAACCAGAGGTCAGCAAACTTCCAATAAAGGGCCAGAAAATAAATATCTGAAGTTTTGGGGCCTTGTGGTCTTTGTCACAACTACTCAACGCTGTTGTTACAGTGTGACAGCAACCATTAACAATATGTAAACAAATGAGTATGGCTGTGTTCCAATAAAACTTTATTTCTGGACACTGAAATGTTAATTTTATGGAATTTTCATGTGTTATGAAGTATTATAGTTTTGTTTTTTTTTTTTTGAGCCATGTAAAAATGCAAAACCCATTCTTAGCACGTGGGCCACACATATGCTGGTGCTAGCTGGAGTTGGCCCACAGGTCTCAGTTGCCAGTCTCTGTTTAAAGAAAGGAGAGCAGTTTTTTCAACTAAGAAAAGTTTATGCCAAGTCTCAACTACACCTATGTGGATTTCTGCAGAAAATTTTATGCTTTACAAGATGCATTTTTAAAGCTTCATTTTTGGAATGTAGGCCAATAATAGTTTCTTTAATCACACATTTTTTAATTTCAATTTTCCAGTCACAAAGCAACTTTTTTCTCTGAAAAGACCAAGTCTATCTCAAGGGAATATCGTTCTTATTTTTTATTTTAATGCAAATCATTTACCATAACAACTCACACAGAGTAACTCTCAATAAATGTTAGCTTTCTTACCACATGGAAATTGAAATCAACTGGATAGGTTGTTTTCTTTTTTATCAAAAAGTTTTATTAGTCAACTGAAATTAAGTACCAGAAATGCTGCAGTTAAAACGGAAATCATTTTTATAAACTTTCAATGGGCCTAAACCGGGGATTGTAAATAGGAATCTGTAACATACAATATGTAATCTGACCTATAGCATTCATCCTGAGAATGCTGTAATTGGAATATAATTTTTGATGTGTTTTTTAAAACATTTCCTGCTTCTGTCATATAATTTGTTTCCAGTATGTTGGAAACACTCTTCTCACGGCCTTTGGGTTCAGTATGTGAAACTCATTCATCATTTACCAAGTCTGAGATGTAAAATAAAAAAATGCTTTTTTTATTTTCCGTGCCATTGATGTAGTAAATTACGTCATTGACTGATTCACTGTAATAGGATTTTTTTTTTCCTTTTGATCCAACTCTGTGCCTTTGGATGGTAAAGTAATCGAAACCTTTCCAGACCAGTCATCTGGAAATGCTGTGGAACTGTAAAAACTACTAGGCTGGGTTTTGTCCACGGCGAGCAACTGTGCTATACTCTAGTCTTGCGAGTAACACGCCAAAGAATGATTTCAGTCATGTGTGGAGTTAACTATGCAAAGGTTATGTTCTGCTCTTTGGAGCGTTACTCCCACCGACAAACGTAGACATCGATTTGTTATCTCTTCCTAGCAACTTGAAAGTAGGCGTTGGTGCAGCAAGCTGAATGGTTTGGTCACCCCACTCTATCATTCATAATTCAGTCTGCTGGACCTGACAGGTGCCTTCACTTTCTCTGGTCCCTCTGTGTCCATTCCCAGAAACACACTGCTTTCTTGGTTTATGCCTGCATAGCATCATTGATTTGCATCCTCCGAGCCTTTTCTTTTCTGTTTTATTATGTTATGTTAGTCACCATACAGTGCTTCATTAGTTTTTGATGTAGTGTTCGATGATTCATTGTTTGCATATCAGAAGTCGCACCTGTATTTGGAGCTACCACCAAATTGTCTCTTCTTAAAATCCTGTGTGAAGATCTATCTCAGTGGGCCCCTGCACCCCCGGTCAATGAGGGGTCTCTCTAACTCAGCACATGTGGTTGCCTCAGCTTAGAACACTCTTCCTGTCTGTCCACTCCTTCCTCCACTTTCTTTTCTTTAGTCCCCTGAGACGACCTTTGTCTATAAGTCATTTCCCTTGGGCAGTCATTTCAGTCTTCTCCAGATTGGTTAGGTTATCTATTCTAGTCTCCCACAACACTCTTTAAAATCCCTTTCATAACCGTTATCATGGTTTATTGTAATTCCTTGTTTAGTTGGACATCCAGCTCATTGGGGAAGAAAAAACACACAAATAAAGAGAAACTATATGATGTCAGACTATTCCCAGCGCCAGTCTAAGTTCCTGGCACATACTTGTAAGATAATAAATATTTATTGAATAAACAACCAGTTTTTAAAAATTTTGTTTTCCTTTCAACTGTTTTTTATTTCCATGGAATGGTAGAACTTTTTCCTGTGACGTGCATTTGTTTATCATGCCTTCTGCTATATACAGAGACACAGGATTTCCCAAGCATGAGAATCTCTTCCTATCCCAGATGTTTCTTTAAAAAAATGGAAAGAAAGGAAGAAAAAGATAGTATTTTTTAATGCTTTTAATCAGGAATTTTTTTGTATATATTTTAGTACGTGGCTGTCATGAGCATCGGCCAAGGGCAGGGATTGTAACTGCATTGCTCCCCGATTTCACCCACCTCCCCCCATCCCTGCAAACAGAACATGGCTGGCACATACTCCGTGCTCAACAAACACTTATCGAGTGAATTAATAAATGATAGAAATGTCACCACATTCACTTGATTTATCCACTTAGACTTTATTAACACATACACAACATTATATATTAACTATTGTGTTTGAAAATAATCACACCCAAAATAGAAACTCTGTGTTTGAATGATCACAAGTCAAATTCATTTACCTCAAGTGTCTTCTCAAAGGATTTTCCCATTTGTGACTCACCCTGTGGAAATGTGTTTCTAGACCAGCCGACTTACGAAACGAAGAGTATACTTGAGACATAGTTGGATTTTTCCGCCTTTAATCCTGTATTCATTTTCATTTTTGGAGTAATGAGGATTATAAGCACATAAATAAGAAATAAGGTATTTCCACGACTTGCAGGACTAGCCTTTAAAATGTTTAACTTATGACTGTCTTTCAGCAGTTGTCTTGCCACTTAAAAGTTATAAAAATTCCTCAAGATTTCACAGTCTAAGTTTTTAAAAAGAGAATTAAAATATCACTCATAGTCACCTCAAATGAAACTGCTCCAATTTCCACAAGTAAATCAGCCTTTCAGGAAACTGTCTTTCTCTTCATCCACTTCCTATGAGAACTAAATTTAGTCCTTAGTCTCATCAGTAGATTATCCAGCCACTTTCCATTAGGACATTGAAATAAAAAGGTTTTAAATTGCAGTTAATACTAGCAACTTCCCTTTATTTTTAAGTTTACTGCAACGTTTATGCCTTGTTGTCAAAATGAAATAAACCAATAATTCTTATTCTAATAAAAAGAACATGAGAAGTCCAAAATTCACTTATCCTCTCATTGCTTCAATTTCCTTATCTATTAAGTGAAAATAGTCATATATGCCCTATCTCACCAGAATTTTATGAGGTCTAAATGAGATGAGAGAAGGGACTTAGCAAAGTCAAAATTGCTTTTAGGAATACAAAGGTCTCCTTGTGCAAAATATTACAAACCAGATTCATTGGTGTTGATGGCTTTCAGATTTGATTTGGTAAAAATAAGTATTATTTTATTAGCCACATTTATTTCACTCCCCTTTGGAACTCAGGTGAATGTTAGTGATCAGAAAGAGAAGCCAGTATAAGACAGTATTTAGGGCCCGTATGTTTTATCATGTTTTAATTTTTCCTTGGGTAATAACAATTACAGACATCCAAGAAGCTCACATATATATCAGTTTCTTCAGTAAACTAATTCATGATTTCCTTCTCCTTCCCAAGTTTTCCCCCCGCTCCTAAATTTTTTTCTCATTGTGATCCTTGACTGCTGACTTGTTTAAAACATTCTTTTTGAGATTTGCTCATTGCTTTGCCATAGAGGTGTTGAACATCTCCTATGGGCTAGGCATGCAATAAAAACAGGCACTGAATCTCTCCCCATGTGGCTGATTGTTTGATGAAGGGACAGACAATGAATAAGCAGAAAACATAAATATGTAATTCTGAAGTGAGCTTTGCAGGACATGAACAGAGCTCAATGCTGGATGGGAGGAAGCTGTATGTGGGGGCGTGTGCCTGAAGTTGGTTGTTGACAGGTTCTTTGAAGCAAAACCATATAAGCTGAGACCTCAAGAAAGAGAAGGTGCCAACCTGGGGAAGAGGTGGGAAGAATTGGGTGAAGGGGACCAGGGCTCCATGGACATGAAGCCCAAGGCTTCATCTCTGTCTCTAAAAGAGGGTGATGAGCAACTTCCTAAATCCAGAACAAGGAACCAGATTCCTGGAGTTCCTTGAGCACTTGAATGCATAGGACAACTGAAGAAATTCCAGTATGTACCTTCCTTCTATGGCAGTTCCTATTTTCTCAACAGTCTCAAGTAGTTAAGTTTTCTCCCTCTTTTTCTTTTTTTTTCTTTCTTTCTTTCTTTTTTTCTTTCTTTTTTTTTTAATTTGCCTTGTAGCATGTTTATGGGATGGGGGTTAGAAGGAGCTTGAAAATCAAGGCCCTTTTGCTGCCCTATTTTAGAGATAGATGGGCACTAAGGATGGCACGTGAGGTAATGAGCACTGGGTGTTATACGCAACTCATGAGAACACTATATCAGAAATTAATGATGTACTATATGTTGGCTAATTGAATTTAAATTTAAAAAAAAAAAGAAAGAAGCAACATTCTTAACTAACCTCCTTTTCTTTTTTCTTTTACACCAATCCCTCTCTGCAGATTTTATAGCATATTTACTTTGGGAATGTAGTCACCCTCTTGTTGTATCCCAATGGAGAAGAGTGCCTTTTAGAAAGTCAATCAGAGAAAGATAATTATCATGTGATCTCACTGATAAGTGGAATTTAAGAAACAAAACAGAGGACCATAGGGAAAGGGAGGGAAAAATAAAACAAGATGAAATCAGAGAGGGAGACAAACCATAAGAGATTTTCCTTTTTAAAAAGAGTTTATTTATTTATTTTAGAGAGAGAGTGAGAAAGAGAGATGAGAGGGCATACAGAGGGAGAAGCAGGGTCCCCACTGGCAGCCCTATGTGGGGTTTGATCCCAGGACCCTGGGATCATGACCTGAGCTGAAGGTAGAGGTTTAACTGACTGAGCCACTCAGGAGCGCTCCCCTCCTCCAAGGAGATTCTTAATCATAGAAAAACAAACTGAAGTTTGCTGGAGGGGTGGGAGATGGGGTAATTGGGTAATGGACATTAAGGAGGGTACGTGATGTAATGAGCGCTAGGTATTATATAAATAAGACTGATGAATCACTGAAGTCTACCTCTGAAACTAGTAATACATGTTAATGAATTTAATTTAAATTAAAATACCTAAATAAATAAATGTTTGGTAGGAAAAATAAAACAGTAAAAAATTAAGGAAAAAGAAAAGAAAGCAGATTCTACCTCAAGATTTTCTCTCAGGTCTTACATATGTCCCTGCCACCCGAGAGTCATCCATCATCCTGTAATTTTCCGGTGACTGTGTCACAAAGAAATAAGTGTAAAGCTAGAGAAAATGTGCCGGTCGTAACTGTGACAGTACTTCGTGAGGAAAACAAACCGACCTGCTACGTGGCTTTTCCAGCTCGACATCATTAACCCTTTGACTTCATCTGTTGAACCCTGACTTTCTGAAGACCGAGAGGGTCAAGGAACTCCCAGTAACGAGAGCCCGTGACATTAATAAATTCCAGAAATAGAGAAAACCAAAATTCCAGATCTCCAAATTATAATTTATTACTTTAGAATACCCATTTAGCACTGTATCAAGGGAAGAGATATATATTTATATATTTCTTGACTTCAAGGAATATAGCCCTTAAGTATTTTGCATTCAAAATAAACCCATGTTTTTAGAAAGTGCATTGTTTACCTTGGAAATTATTGACATCTTAACAGCTGACATGTTGGTGTGGTCTTATGGAGCATAGTTAGGTCCTGTTAGTCATGGGGTATCTTTGAATGCCATGTTGATAATGGCTCTCTGTGTGTTTGTATGTTTCCTATTCTCATAACTTGTGGAATAATCTCTCATGGGTTTTGTTTTAGGGTGACCCTGGGTCATCAGCTGCAGGAATTAAGGTAACTATAACTTTGCAAGTGTTTGTACCCCAGGAGTTACAGTTCTGAATTTTATAAGCCTCTGCTTTCTCTTCTTTCGTACCAGTTTTGATGGTTATGACTGTTTTCTATTCTTCTGTAATGATCTGCTTCCAAACACAATAGGGCATATCTGCTGGAAATCTGATAAAGGCTTAAATAAGAGGTCTTGCCTTCACTTCTCTTTGCAGCTGGTTTTTTATGGAAATGTGAATTTGTATGTGAGCTTTAGGTATGTTTGCAGCAAAAAAAAATTTTCCTGTCTCTGGTGAGACACAGCGTAATAGAATAAAGTGAATGAAATGCATGTGATCAAGAAGGCTAGGCCATCTCTGTGAACTTGTCCAGAGGCCTAAAGGTTTTGGAAAATTCTTGTAAGATTGTTTTTAACATCTTTGGTTTTCTTTTGGGCAGGGAGAACCTGGAGAATCTGGTCGCCCAGGACAAAAGGTAATACTGCTATTCTAGTGTGTTCTTTCTATTGCCTCATCTTTGCCATTTTTTATACCTACTATCCACTGTGTGATATGAAAACAATTGAAAAATGATGTAGTCTTCAAGCTTTGCATGCAGAGTGCTGTTGATTGTTTTGCATTGTAGAAGGGTTGATGCGGACCATGGCAAAATATGAAACACTCTGTACGTGTAAAAAGATGTTTTATCAGCTAACGTCTGCATATGCTCAGCTGTCTGAGGCTAACAAAGATGAGTCGGGTTGGAATGTCAACAATTTATCTTGCATGTTTAAAGTCGCTCTGCATGTTTCTGTCATTCATGAGAAGAAATGAATATTTACTAAACTCTTTCAATTGGGAATGAGAGCTTCTTATATTCCTTTTCCTTTCATTTCAAATACTTCCCTCTTGATGTTTCTTATGTGAATTATGTCTCCCTATGCAGTGGGTGTTATGTTATACAAACCAGATTTGTTAATAAATGAAGTTTTAATTGGAGACACTAGCCAAGCACTTTAACCGATCTGTGAATGCATACATGAATTTTTTTGAATCATTTGTGCTTCACTTCAGTGATAAATTAGAGGATATGCAGTGATTATGTTTAGATTCATATTCTCATTTGAGTCTGAGGCAGGAAACAACTGTTAGCAGTTTATTGTCTGAGCATCTGGATATCAGTGCCCAGTGCTGTCAGACTTTAGGTAACAGATGTGTTAGAGCTAACAAGTAAATGTGAATTCCACATTAGGCTAAATCTCTCAAGATCGTGACTCTACCTTTATCTAGCAATAGCTGATGTTGTAGGAAAAAACATAATTAGAGATACAGAATTTACCCCATTAGTGTAAAGGAAAAGAAAGAATAAATCTCATTATAGGAGTTTGGAATCCTAAGACGTGGTAAAATAGTGTTCCCACACTCTTGAAGTCCTTGAGAGGATGATTGCTTTGTTTTAACACTTAGGATTAAAGTAATTTTTGAGAAGGCCTATCATGTTCTTTTAAAATTCCTCTAATTTAAAAATAGAGTTTTCTTTTGAAACTCAGTTTCTCTTGAAACTTAGGTTTTAAGAATAATGATTCATCAGGCCCAGTTTCAGGTAAAGTTCAGACTTTTCCAAAGAGCCCAGCAGAATTCTGTGAATTTTGCTCTTAAACTCCCAACATTTCCTACTGATTCTTTATGTAAGGAATTGGAAATTAGTGGTATCATCAGCAATCCATGGTCTGCTTTGGTTTGAAAAAGCAAATAATCTTCTCAGATGACCTAATTTTAGGTTCCTTCATCTTTAAACGTTGAAGGCTAAATTTAAAGTGCTCTCCAAATATGTGATATACTAAAAAAATGTCTGCAGGACTATTATGCTTTTTTAACAAAACAAAACAAATCTGCCATAATTTTATATAGGTTCCACTGTTTTCACAGTGGAAGATCCAAAATAACTTTCAATTGCTTAATAAAATATTGCCTTATTATGATTATTGAGAAATACAGTTTAGATTCATTCCTAGAAGTTCTTAGGTTTACATATGGAAACATTGTATTTCCTTTGTATTTCATTAAAAATCTGCTTTAAATTATATCAGGAGAAGGGGTGGATTCATTAAAAGCTCACAACCTATCTGAATGAGTATGTGCCCTGAAATGAACAGCATCTTTTTCCTTAATATTTCGGCCAGATTCTATCCTTTGACGCAATCTCACTTGCCTACAGTATTTATAACTTCCTTTGTCTAGTATTGGGATTTGGCAATACTTACCCCAATGTTGCTTTAGAAGTAGGGTATTCCCATACTTGCTGCTTACTCAAGTTAGAAAATGACAAGCAGAACTGAACACAGAACCAATCCAAGAGAACTTCCATGGCATTTTCCTCATCATTGAAGAACTGTGTTGTGCATTCTATACATAAGCTCCTGTGTGAGGGACATTTCAGAAATGTAGAGTGTTGTGACAGAACGAAAAGCCCATTGATAAGCTTTCCACTGTCTGGTGTTGTCTAAGAGCAACATTCATAATTTAGAATGACTTCATCATAGTCTTTTTCCTTTGATAGATTCAACAGGAAAGTGTGTGATTGATACATGAGTTAGTATGCGTATTTACGTTTGTAAACTGAATGTGTAGATTTATACAAAAATAGGTATTGTGTTTCATCACATAGCTTTTTCTTTCTAACTTCTTTGCATCTTCTTAAAATACATTTTTTAATTTTCAAGGGATGAAAATACTTGATCCCCCATTAGAAGGGACCTTCGCAGTTGAAGTATATATAAAAGTACAAGGCACTGGGAGCAAAAGCAGAGTCACAAATTTGACAGCGGACAAGGGTCTCCTTTAATGAAGGGTAAAGAGTCAAAGGGAAAGAAAAAAAGAACCCAAAGTATAATGTGTAAAGTTTAATCTACTTGGACAAGTATTCTTTGAACCGAAGAACAAACCAATTCTCAGTTATGACCCAGATCTGACTTTAGGCCATGCATGCCCAAGAATTCAAACCAGAGAAGCTCCTGGACCAAGAAATAGGCAAAAATGGAGAAGTCAGCAAAAACTGGGTCTTACTGGAAGACAAGCCTTCGTGGTATAAATATAGGAAAATTTTTATACTGGAAGAAAAGTCTTCCTAATAATGTTGAGATGTTCCACAAAGAGTAGCATGAAATATTTTATAATCTTTCATTGTGTTGACTACTGCATTAAATAAACATAAATTTGGAAATGGCAAATTCCTTTCTGAAATATTTTTCCTTTAAAAAGTCCATTTAATAATGTAATATGTATACATACCTACATACATACACGTGTAATATAGGGAACAGCTAAATGCTGAAGTCTCTGTTAAGTATTCAACCTACATTGTAAAATATCTGTAATGTCTCGTACATATTTCTCATTGTCGGAAAACATGGGCATGTGTCTGTGTACACACGTGTATATACGTATCTTTTTTAAAGTAGTTGTACAATCCTTTTAATATGGTAGGAGGGAAGTGTGTGGTAAGAACTCCTGCAGGCAAACAGTGTTATAACCCTTGTATTTTCACGTGTTTCAAATAAGATGCCTTGAGTTTCAGAGGCCTTTCTGCAAACAATACAAAATTATAGGTTTTTCACCAATAGGTTTGCTTTTATTGGTTGTATGTTCTCCTGAAGTTTACTGTATATTCGAATGCCTTGTACTTTTTTTTTTTTTTAAGTAAAAGAGAATCTTCAGTAAAATATAGATGCAACCTTATTTACTGGATCTTCTTAAATTTATCAAATGAAGGGCAAAGGGTAAAGAAAAAAGAAAATCCAATGCATACTGTTTCTTTGGCAAGTTTAATCCACTTGGACAAGTATTCTTTGAATGCAATCTTAAATTCTTAATGATCATTCTTTCTTCTCTGGCATAACCTCATCTTAGTCTTACTTACTGTTCACAGTACAAAATTTGAGTTATATAGTTTCAAACAGTGTAGCTTTTCTTTTGCATTCCTGAAGTACCTGTGACCTAAACCATCAGGAAAGTCATTGTCCCTTCTACAGCTAACCATACAGCTTAGTTAACAGTATCTGGAGTCATTTTTTGATAATACCAAAACAAATTATGGCTCTTCATAATATGAGAGTAATACTATTAAAGACAAAATATCTGATTGTTCCTAGGTTTTCCTTGGAATGAGGATTGTTGAAACACTTAGATGAAAAGAAGTGTCTCCCTTTACCACTTTTATTTAGTTTAATGCCCTAGTCTCTTTTAGTATCGTTGTCTATCCCACTGACTGACCATTCTGAAGCAATGTATGTCTTTGACCCTCAAATGTTGTTTCCACAAATAATAGTCATCTCAGTCCAATATAGGACGGACTTTCATTTTCCCTGGCAATTCCTTTATGTTTCTTTAGTGGAATTCAGGGGATTTTCTAAGCAATGTAACCTCTTGTCACTATACTTTGTACTTAAAATAATGTAGACAATTCTGTGAAAATGAGATTTAGCTTGACTCCAGTGTGCTCACACAAAATGTACCACTTAATCTCAAACCTGTATTCAGGAACAGCTGCACGCATGGTACCATTAGCCCTAAATTGCTAAGCAGGGTTACCCAGACTCAACAATTGTCAGAAATACAGGCTGAAGTTAAGTATGATCTTGACCATGCATTTATCTTCTCATCATTCAGGAATGGAAAAGAAATCTTACTATACTTTTAAGTGAGCAAGACTTTTAATATATATTGTTTTGATGTGACCATCTGTTCACACAGCCAACTCTTGATTATCTGAGGTAAGAGAGCCTGGGAACAGGATGCATTATTCAAATGCATACATAATCCTCATTTCAGCAAAGAGCTTCAGCTTCCGCAAGAAATCATTTACCAGGGAATAATAAAACACAAGAGTTTCTGTTCCTTTTACTTCTCTCGCTTGCCTTCTGGTTGAGATGCCAACGAGCAGTGAGATGGCAGGAAGAGAAAAAATCCTGAAAAATCTGCAAATGGTCAACCCATCCCTGAATCAAGAGTTGACTGAACTGTATAATCTCACCAAAGTTCTTAGAACTAGACAATATTTATATATATGTGTATATATATATATGCAGCAAGTATTCAGTTAGGAACACTTACCATGTTTTTCTCCAAATACTGTGACTGAGTGACTATTGTTCTATAATGCTATGTGATTTTCCTATGTAGGGTGAACCAGGGCTTCCTGGGCTTCCTGGACTTCCGGGGATAAAGGTAAATACTGCACTGACAGTCTCAGTTTCATAGAATTGTAACTGTGAAAGTCACAGAAATCAAAGGAAAATAGGAAAAAAATGAAAAATAAAAATACAATGCTATCCTTTAAATTCTCTCCAGCCATCTCAATCAATTAAAATTTTTTAGAAGATTTTATGTATTTATTTGACAGAGAGCAAGACAGCTAGAGAGGGAACACAAGCAGGGGGAGTGGGAGCGGGAGTGGGAGAAGCAGGCCTCCCGCCGAGCAGGCAGCCTGATGCAGGGTTTGATCCCAGGGTCCTGGGATCATGACCCAAGCTGAAGGCAGACAATTAATGACTAAGCCACCCAGGTGCCCCACAATCAATTAAATTTTTTAAATCGAGGGGCGCTTGGGTGTCTCAGTCAGTTGGGCATCCAGCTCTTGATCTCCGCTCAGGTCTTGATCTCAGAGTCATGGGTTTGAGGCCCACGTTAGCATTTTTAAATTGAAAACTAGGCACAAGTATTGCTGACATTTGCCGTTGCTATCTGGACTATATATTCTACTATTAGAACCTACTATGACCTTGAAAAAAATGTAAGTGCCACAAAGGAATTCTTTAAAGTCTAGGATGTCCACTTACACATTTTAATTTTGTTCTTTGCATCCCTTAGACTCTGACTGGAATCAGAGTCTTAACATTCCCATAAATCGAACATTTAGGCAGCTGTTTTTGTAATTCATTCGTTAAAACAATCGCTCTAAAATAGCTTCTGCTTCCACTTCCTGTCAATAACTCTCACTGCAAAGGACAAGTCAGATGACTAAACTCTCCTATACCATATATTATTTCCATAAACTTTGTGTGTATCTTTTGAAATAACTGCTAAAAGCTTAGTTTGAAAACAATGTTTTCCATGTGTTAAAACCATCTAAAAATGTTAAGAAACATAACATTTTTTTAATTGCTTAAAATTTTTCACAGGGCAACCGACATGCTTAAAGTTCTATTGCCTTAGCAGTAGCGAGTCTCTAAGATCTGATTTCTAAAGCTGAAAAGCTTTAAAGTTGTTTCTAGAACCGTTTGATACAGTAACATAATGCAAGTATATTTTTCCTTACATTATTCTCATAAACTTTGAATCAATGTTTAGTGTGCGTTAGACCATTTTAAAATGAATAATCCCAGTTTCAGTGTGTGGGCTATGTATACTGTTTGATGAAGGTTGTGTTTGAAGTATGGTACATGAAATAATATGGCTTTAGAATAAAACAAGATAAATTACTGAGTTCCCCAGACACCATATGGTATTATATATTTTATGACTTTATTTGGTATAAGTAACAGACATGAAAACTGTGTTTTCAGGCTGGCGGTCAGAAATTTCTGCTTTTTCTTTGATGTTTCCAGATTGGTATCATGGACATTCAGATATGTCCTTTTATTTTTGTCTTTGGCTTCCTCAGCAAAAAAGTACACTGTAGGAGAACAGCTTACTAAAAGGTCAAAGTCTTTTACTTACCACTTGCTATTTAGCAAAATAATTAAATATGTGATTTCATATTGTAGAGCTAATTTATGGAAGGTTCCTTAGTAATACCCACACATTAAAAAAAGATCCTTTTACAAATGACTGGGAGATCGTAGATTTCTAAAACAAATTTAAGGAAATTATTAAAGTTTTAATTTATTTTAGTCTTATTTTAAATAATAATTTATAATTTATTTATAAATTTTATTATAAGTATATTTATTTATATTTATATTATTTATTATTATTAAATTTATTTATAAGTACATTTATAAATTATTTTAAATGATAATTAAAATTATTATTTAATTCAACATGAGTTAAAAAGAACCTGGTTGCATTATATAGAAGAGGGAGGGCACTGGAAAGGAGGGACATTTGGGAAGGGCTAGGGGAGGGTTTCCTATAGTGCTTTACTCCTAAGTTAGCAAGGCTGTGCTTCCAATGGTCACTGGTGAGGCATGAACTCCAGCCCTGCATTGAAATGCGCTTGAGGATGAGGCACTGTCTTGGTGGGAAAGAGTATGTAAGGGTGAAGTTGTTGGAGTTTTTCCCTCTGAGACGAACAAAAACCAATTTGAATTACTCTATTTGTTATCGTTACCTCTTATTCATTTTATGTCTTCCACCATGAAAAATAGCCCATGGCAATTTCCCTAATCATATGTGAACTAGTCGAAAGGTTTGAACTTTTTCAAATTGGGAAGAGTGTTGGTGATTTGCCACCTCCAGTAAATGCTTTTATTCCAAGGGTCCTAAGACATGGCCAGAAGTATTTTGTTAGGATCATATAGCTGATATTTGCCTTGGTTTTTTAAACCTTGAGTGTGACTGTTGTGACAAGAAGCTGTCAACTGACAAAACCTTTTTATCCTTCGCTGGAAATACTTTTCTATGCAATTATCAAATATTGTTGGGGAATTACTCAGTACTTGATTTAAATCACAGATTTTGTAATTAGCTTTGTCTTCTCGCTCTAGTTCAGGATGTGAGCAATGTTCTTTCTTTATAATATGGTAGGTGCTCAGAATACAGAAGTCCTCTTGTGAAGGAGATAATTTAAGAACACATAGTCATTAGCAGGCATTGGATATTTATAAATGTAGAGTTACATGTTTATAACTTTACAATATAGCTTCATTACCTGAGATGTTCTTTATTCCTCCAATATGCCTTGCCTCTACTCAGTTGCTAACCACAGGATAGTTAATCGTGATTTCATAGTTTGAATGAGTAACAATATTTAAAAGATGAAACCACATGTATGGATTTAGAACGTGTGGTAGCAAGAACTGTGTGATAGTTCATGCTTCGGAAATACTTCCTGTTGCTATTCATCCCCTTCTTATCTTCTGGTACTACAGAGAGCATGCAAATGCCATCCATTATTTCCAAGACATTGAGGAAACCAGCCATGACATACCAGGGAAGCTTTGATTTGCCACCTGTTGCTCTCAGGGAATGGTGGGGAACTTAATGAGCACCCAAATGCCTTCCTCACAGCTCTCAGGAAATGAGCAAAGTGCCTAAATACAGACAGCAGACTCATCTATCTATCACCTCAGAGTCCCACTCAGAGAGAAGTGCTGATACCTTGGGCATACATAATAAAAGTCACCAACAACAGGCATAACTTAATTTCAAACTATTCTTAAGCTTCCTGCACAAGTATTGGAAAGTTCTCTCACCATGTGGAAGACATTTGGAATTCCTATTTCATGCATTCATGGTTCATATCATGTCAAGATGTTCAACTGGGAAAATTAAATTATGCACAATGTACCATGCAGACATTGATCTTCTGGAATAAGATTTGAGCTCACAAAATGATTTTTATAAATAAGACTTCAAATATGTTTTTCATGAGTGAAACTTTTGAGTAACTAGCTTTTCTGATATCACATAAAAGGATAAGATCTGATGTTCCTATTTTTAAAATTTTTTTCTCCCACACTTATTTTGAAAAACATAAATATATTACTTACCCCTCTTATGATTACATTACCCTAGTAATGAAGCAATATAGAGCAGTGAGCAAGAAACCTGACTTTAGAACCAGACCACCAGTGTGCGGGTCCTGGTTTTACCCCTCACCATAACATTGAGCAAGTTACAATAATCTCCCTGTTCTCCGGTTTCCTTATAAAATGAGAATCATTGTTGTATATAACTCAGAGAGTTGTGTATATTAAGTGAATTAATATATGTGTAGCTCCTAAAATATTGCCAAGCAGATAGTAAATATCAAAAAATATTAGCTATTACTCTTTTTTTCTCTTGGAGCAACTCAGAATATTGGAGACATGGTTTATGTACATGTTCAATCTAATCTTTCCTCATGTGAGTTATTTTAACCTGGAGAACATAAAGCCATTTGCATTCTACAGGTTAATAGAGGTAAATTCTGAAAACTCCTTTGCAGTGATGGATGAATGTTACCTTTAAGAGCTGTAAGAAACCTAGTTTTCTTGAAACATCACACTATTCTCCTTTTCCTATAACTCAAATTCATTCCAGGAACAAAGGATGAAGGAATGCAAACTTCTGGGCATAAGGCATGGTACTGTTAAAACTCCTCTTCCTATGCTGTTCCCAGGAGAACCTGGACATGTAATGAGGAAATGTTTCTAGGCCCCAGTCATAGCATTGCCCAGACCTAGACAGTTTTTTACAAATACGGGTTTTCAATACTTGCTTTCCTCCTTTCAACAGAGACCACTAGTTTATCTCATCATATTCAGAAAGTAAATTGGGAAAAATTTATATAACACAGTAAAATTAATAGATTCGGGAAACATAATACAGTAAAAAATACATAAATGAAAAAAGCATTTAGGTGGCAAAAAATTCTTAAGTATTTTCCCTCAAACTTGATAGTTTTCTTCTGGTTTCCACATTAGTGAAAATTTGACATTCAGATTAAGAATTCAAGGATTGGGAGGGTAAGAGACAGTAACCAGTTCTTTATACCTCATTATATGAAATCATCTTTGACACCAAGTCATGGAAAGGCTAAGTTTTTAAGGTGGCAGGAACATTTAGGTTGGCCTTCTTAGGATTAATTACATTGTTCAATAATCTAATAGAAATTTACCATCTAAATTCACTGGCGATGAGGTTCTTTCCTCAGAAACATCAAATCACATTTTAAAAACAGGAGGGGAAAGTTTCTGGAAGTAACATAGAGTGTGAAATGTATTCCTAAAAGAAAAAAGAAAAGGAAGAAATACTGGTTAAAAGGATAAGATTGTGTTATTGTTACTTGTAATTATTTCCTGCCTGCCCAGAGTCTGTGTCTGAGCAGCTGAGTAGTTTAAGAATCCAGTTAGGAAACTCACGCAACCAGAAATCAGAGATTTTTAGCAGCCATAATGAAACCTCCAGTAAATATACTGAATGTGTTTTCATGATGTAATCCTGTTAAGAAGAAAAAAAAAAAAAAAGCAGAAAGGTATGTTTTCTGAGTCTTAAATAAACCTGCTATTGCAGTTCATTTTCAT